ACAGATGGGTGGCACTGGTGTGTGGCACTGCTGGGCACTGTAGAACAATAGCACTGTACAGTAGAACTATTTCTCCCTGAAATCACTGTCAGCTGTCCCTCACTATTCTAACTCACAACACACACTAACAAAGAGCTGAAGGGAGAGCTGACTCATATAGGAAGAGGTCAGGCACATTTTTCCAAGCCCCATTATTGGCCATACTCTACCTCCTGATCACAGTTCACGCAATGAAATCTGTGTTTGGCACTTAGGCAAACAAACCCTTAAGTGGAGCAAAGTGCGAACAAAAAAAAGTTGCTGCAAACCCACCCTAGCAACAAACCTGAACCTCATCCTTATCAACGAATGTTTGTTGGCGACAATAGAAAACACCCTTAACAATTATACAGTTCATTTATATTAGTTTATTTATTAGATAAAATATAATTTTTTTTAGCTAAGCTGCACATTTTACATATAACTCTTGTCAATGACCAACAGCATTAAAAGCTATTTTTCTTACACTGGAATGAGAAGCTGTTCAAGAGTTTATTCAGCTGTGTCTGTGTGTAGTTTGATGGCATGAGTGCAGAGATTGAAAGTTACATATTACCATCTGGCAGGAAGAAAGTCTTGTTTTTATACAAATCTCTTTACCACTTCCAAAAGCGATGTCACAAAGCTTGGTGCCATCAGGAATGCCATCACTAACCACAAACAGCAGTCACTATTATTTCTTATTCATATCCCATTCAGGATGAAACTGTAAATTTAGAAAAAAAAAAAGGTATTTAATTATATATTTCAGCCTCATCTCTGCCTTTATATTTTCTTTCATTTCTTCTTTTCTTCCTTATGTTTATTTTTGCACTAATGCTAGAACCTTGTCTAGCATCCCTTTTGTCAAATCAGTTATTATATTGCCATAAATTATATATTACAGCACAGGGCAGATTGGAAAGGCGGAATAAGTGACATTCTCATCTGAGAAGAAAATAACAAGCGGGCATAGTGTGGGCACAGAAAATGCTATTAACCCTTTAAATGCAGGGGTTTTCTGGATTACTAAGATCTAAAAAAAATAACAATACTATAATAGCAAAGGAATAATGTCAAAATAAAGCATTCTGGGGTTTTTTTTGTGCTAATAAATTGATAGGCCTATAGCAATAACAGAACCTGGTCCACTTCTAATTTCTTGCACCATACACAGCTGTATAGGGAATTTGAAAGAAAAAGTGAAGAATAAACCATTAGAGCCCGTTCACACAAGTGTTTTGTGATAACGCATGGTAAATATGCATGTTATGCTGCATGTTATTTTGAAACCATGAGTCAAAGTGCAGGGTACTGCAGTACCATTAATTTTGAATAGCACCTCAAAGCGCCTAGGCAGTACACTGCACTACTCTTGTGCACCACAACACACAGATGTAGACCATTTGTGCACCCTTTTAGTGTGCTACATGAACTAGACATGCTCAGTTTTATGTGCCATGTGATGTGTTAGCAGCTACCTAATGCAATGCATCCCAGTGTGCAAATGCCACACCTTAAAAATGCATGCATTGCAACAACACCTTTGATATGAATGGGCCCTTAGGTTTCACAAACATCTTGGCTTAGGACTTTCAAATGGAAAATGCAAAACAGTGTACTTTATGCATTATGCTCACCTAGCTGTTCACAATTTCATTCTTCATACAGAAGAAAAGAGCTTCAAATGTTCCAGTATAGTATATAATGATTGTTAAAGTAAGGCTTATTTAACAATTTGACCAGGTAAGTGTATTATCTATAGGGAAAAAGGTAGAGTTAAGTCAAGTGCCCCTGTGACATTGGATGAATGAGGTTTGGCCTCCATGGCAATTTTCTAGGTTAGTCTGTGTGAGTTCTCTCTTTTCAAGCCCCATTGCATACAATTCAATTCAGTAAGCAGTAAAACAAAACAAAGCTATCACACCACAGAGAGACAGAGGTATACAATAATACAATATGAACTGTCATTCCTAACATGTCATGATCTTGAATGAGATTCCAGGGGGATAAGATAAAGACTTTTGTCATGCAGAATCCATTTAAGGCAGGGATGCAAAACTTTGTAAAAATTGCTTTATATCTGAAATACTCATTTCTATTGCATGATTGATACAAACAGCACTGTACAATTTATAGGAGAAAAGCAGGAGATCTTCCATGCATGGTGTTAAATGGGAAAGTTTTTTGTTGTTGTTTTGGTTTTTTAAGCACTTGGGGAAGCATTCAACAATGCAGATAATGAATACAATGGTGGTGGATTATAATAAGGGCAGAATAGGTAGCTGTTTGAGGTCCCAGACCCTGGCGGGGGGGGGTGGGGGGGGGTTTGGGTGGGGTCATGGCATGCTAAAAATTTCTGAACATCAGTACTTTATATAGTAAGTCTTTTTTGCAAGTCTTTAGAAGGTAGTCAGCAAAGACAGCCTCTGGTTTGCTACCAATAAAGATTTCCTTTAAGATTAACAGGTGACCATACACAAAAAGTATGCACACTTATACATCAGTACTCTAATTATATATCATGGATCAATCTTTGAATGCAAGCTGTACCTGTAAAGAAGAAAGTAAATACGTACCTCTCCTGCTACCTGTAACATTGAAAGCTACCCTGGTAAAAATAAATCACCCAACAAAGTCTATTCAGAAACTGATATTTCCAGGAGTGTTGCTCTCCAGGACCCCCACTACTCTCAGTGGTTTCTCCTGTAGTGTTGTAGGGAGTCAGTGGGAGGAACCACTGAGCACAGTCTGGGATCGTGAATCTGACACTCCCAGAAGTGTTGGCTTCTGCAGAATCTTGGTATTGTGGTATTGAAGAGATACTGGTGCCTGAAGATACTTCAGAAAGAGAGATTGGTTGGACAGGCAGAAACTGGGTTGCTTTAAAGTTATTTATTATTATATTCTTTTAGTGTATTAACTTGTAATTGCACATCTGGCCAAAGTTTATTTTATCAAGAAGAAGAAATAAACCTCCTGCGCTCAAAGGACCGGATATGGCATATGTGGAAGGATCTTTGTAGATCTTAGCATTTGAACCAATAAGGCAGTGCTGTGCAGCCCCCTAAGGGCTGGGGTAGCCCAATACAGCACTAAAAAATAAGAAAGGAAAAGGGCCGCGCAAGCCTTGCGCATTATCTCACTAAAAACTTTAATCATACAATGTAGCAGATGTATACTCACAAACAACAAATATACACAGGCATATCATGACCGACAATAGTCCATGCTCTGAAATGGTGCATACATTTCACAAGCAAAAGGACGCTTGAGAATGGGTGATGCGTTTCGAGGAGCGATCTCCTCTTCATCAGAGCCTATTTCTACTTTGTATGTTTAAAGTTTTTATTGAGGTAATGTGCAAGTCTTGTGCACCCCTTTTCCTTTCTTATTTTAAAGTTTATTTTATGTTTGGATTGACAATGTCATGCACATAAAAAAATGTCCCCCACCGGCTCTAAGCCTGAGAACTAAGCGATCACATTACTGATGGTCCGCTCTCGGCAGATAGTACTCTCTGCTCTACCCCTCCAGCGCTCACTGATGCACTCTCTGCTCTACCCCTCCAGCGCTCACTGATGCATCGGGCTTTGGAAGGGAGGGAAGCAGCTGGCTCTGGCTCTCAACAGCATGTTGAGAGGCTACGCCAGCTGCTGGTCAGGCATCTGGGTGGATCTCAGCATTATTGTCGGGATCCTTTCAGAGCCTGGAGTGGCTCTGTGATTCTGGGCCACATGAGTTCAGAAATACTGTAAGTGCTTTCCTGTGATTGAGAAGCCAAAACGCTCTAGCCATATTTCTCTTTTAAACACCCAGCAAACTAAACAACATACTAAAGCCATGAATGAAAACAGTAAGAAAATATTGTTTATGTCTAAACTGGTATACTTAAAAGCATTTTTGTGCACTTAGTAATTAAGATAACTCATGACTAGGGCAAGTTTTAATATAAATTCCTGGGACTTGTTTTCCACTAAATACTTGGGAAAATTAGAGAACTATATAATGGTAGGACATAAAAACACAAACCAGGTTTGGCCAGTGCTATTTTTGTCTCATGTAAAACCTCAGTGAATATTTCAGGCTTTCATAATATCTTTTTTTCTAATTTTATTTAGTGAGTCATCACTTTATTGGTAAATCAATGCTTCCTTTTGTTAGCAAACTAATTCTTTTTCTATTCTTTAATAGAGGGGAGTAGATTTATTTTAAATGTAATTATTTTCTTATCTTCATTTTAACCTATATAAATATTAGGAGAAAAATCAGTTATCTATGTGCTTATTTATTTATTACAGGTACTTATATTGTGCCTTCAATGTACGCAGTGCTTTACATATACAGTATATGAACTTTAATGGCATCCCAATCTTAGTCCATAGGGTTCAATATTGAGAGTTGGCCCACCCTTTGCAGCTATAACACATTCTGCTCTTCTGGGAAGGCTGTCCACAAGGTTTAGGAATGTGTCTGTGGGAATGTTTGACCATTCTTCCAGAAGCTCATTTGTGAGGTCAGGCACTGATGTTGAACGAGAAGGCCTTTCTTGCAGTCTCTGCTCTAATTCATCCCAAAAGGTGTTCTATCGGATTGAGGTCAGGGCTCTGTGCAGGCCAATCAAGTTCCTCTACCCTCAAACTCGCTCATCCATGTCTTTATGGACCTTGCTTTCTGCACTGGTGTGCGGTCATGTCGGAACAGGATGCGGCCATCCCCAAACTGTTCCCACATTGTTGGGAGCATGAAATTGTCCAAAATGTCTTGGTATGCTGACGCATTAAGATTCCCTTCAGTGGAACTAAGGGACCAAGCCCCACCCCTGGAAAACAACCCCACACGATAACCCCCCTTCACCAAACTTTACACTTGGCACATTGCAGTCAGGCAAGTACCATTCTGGCAAGTGCCAAACCTAGACACGTCTATTGCCAGACAGAGAAGCATGATTTGTCACTCCAGAGAACATGTCTCCACTGCTCTAGAGTCCAGTGGCAGCGTGCTTTACACCATTGCATCCGGCGCTTTGCATTGCACTTGGTGATGTAAGGCTTGGATGCAGCTGCTTGGCCATGGAAACCCATTCCATGAAGCTCTCTACACACTGTTGTGCTAATCTGAAGGCCACACAAAGTTTGGAGGCCTTTAGCTATTGACCCTGCAGACAGTTGGCGACCTCTGCGCACTGTGTGCTTCAGGATGCGCTGACCCTGCTCTGTCATTTTACTTGGCCTATCACTTCGTGGCTGAGTTGCTGTTGTTCCCAGTTGCTTCCACTTTGTTATAATACCACTAACAATTGGAATATTTAGTAGCAAGGAATTTTGATGGACTTATTACACAGGTAGCAACCTATCACGCTACCTTGCTTGAATTCACTGAGCTCCATTCTTTCACAAATGTGTATAGAGACAGTTTGCATGTCTAGGTGCTTGATTTTTTATACACCTGTGACCATGGAGGTGATTGGAACACTTGAATCCAATGATTTGGATGGGTTTCTTAATACTTTTGGCAATATAGTGTATATTGTACATTCACATCAGTCCCTAACCCTCAAGGAGCATACAGTCTAAGGTCTATAACTCACATTCATACATACACATACTAGAGCCAATTTAGACAGGAGCCAATTAACCTACCAGAATGTCTTTGGAGTGTGGCAGGACACCGGAGTACCCGGTGGAAATGCATGGAGGCACAGGGAGAACATGCAAACTCCAGGCAGGTGGTGCTGTGGTTGGGATTCGAACCAATGACCCTAGTGCTGCCAGGTGGAAGTGATAACCATTTAGCCAATGTAAATTGGGAATTGTTAAAATATACAGTATGTATACAGTATATGCATGAAAAACTATCACTTCTGCAGATAATTGCATAAGTTATACATTTGTTATACATTTTTTAAAGCCGGATTCCTAAATAGATTGAATCTGTACACATCAGACAGTACCACATAGATAGAAGATATTAAAAACAAAACAAAATTAAAAAAATAAACGTAAAAAATAAAAAGTTTATTCTATTTTAAATCTGCATAAATACCCAAATTTTACATGATTTTTGCCTCTTGTAATCCTCTGGACAATGCATTTAATTTTTATAAAATAAATTTGTAGCCAATTTTCCTATTTTTATGGCTATTTGATTTCATATAATTTTTGTAGTCTATTTTTTTTTTATCTGTACGCAATTTTTGGATATTTTAGCCTATTTTATTCCATTGAATTCTTTTTTTTTTTTTCTTTAGGATACACTCAATAAATATAATATAATTATTTTAACATATTTTTAACAGATGATATTGCTTCTATTTTACACATGATATTATGATTAGAGATTTGTTATAGGTTTATATCATTTGATTACACTGACCATGGTGTTTTGTTATGTACAGTATTTCATATGTTGCTTTACAGTTTTTATGATGTCTTCATTTATCAGATGCTAATTTAGCCACCTTGATCACCAGATAGCTTAATTCCATGTACTGTACTTTTTTCATTTTAAGTACATTGTACTTGTGGGTGTAACCCTATTACAGCCAATACATCTATATATGCGTATGATTAACAATCTGATTTTATGAATTGGTCACATATGCATTAGGGGCAGATTTCTACTGCGCATGCGCAGCGACTAGTGACTTGCGGGATGGTATTAATAGGGGTGATATATTAGGTTTTGGCTATTTATCCCCCACCTCTTTCTACATTTATGCACATTGCAGGTCTTTTAGTTTATAACACTCTGGTTCTGGAGTGTTGTTTTTCTTCTCTGGTGAACTAGGTGTTCGGGTATAAACATCCCTTCTCTGGTGAACTAGGTGCATCTTGTTCACGGGTATGTTGCAATTAAAATCTCTATGAAAATGGAGCTGATGTGCGTGCGCCGGATAGTCATCAAAATGGCCGGCGCGATATTCGCATGTGCCATTTTCACTATAAATATGGACACCAGACATCAGACGTTGTATGCACACCCCCTATGAGTATGTGCTAGAGCACGAAACACGCCAGAGAGGAGCTACAATGTCGTGACATCACGCCGTTGAGGCCCCAGCAGGTCTGGTGGCCATCTTTGGAAGCACATGGTCAGTCTATTTTTACTCTTACTGTACACTCTGTTTGGAAAGCAATACATTCCTCTGTTAAGCAGTATCACGCTATGTGGCATCCTTTCTTTGGGCTCTTTGGGAGTCTAACCATCCACAGAACCATTTAAAGAGAAAGTTAGATGTGCTGTTACCCACGGAGGGCTCTCCTGAGTGGCTCTCCTCAGATTATACACATTTGATCACCTATTGGACTCATGTATATGATCATTACACAAGCATGTTTATCACTTTATATCTCATGATTTCATTTCTGGTCACCAATAGCACTATTGGCACTTTATTATCTATATTATTTGCAATTGGTTTTGATTGATTTAGCATTTTGTTTATTTATATAGTACTTTATTTCTATTTGTATCTTGGATCTCAGCGCTGCACCTACTTTATTTTTTATTATTGATTCAGGAGGTTTTTTGGTACCTTTTTGGTGGCACAGCAGCTCCATTGTAGCGCTCACTTTGCCTTTCTTATTTTTATTTTGACCCTGTCATGCTGTTGATGATTTCTCACTATTCAGTCACAGGCGGGGGGATAGAAATATGAGCTAGCTTTTTAACTGTAGCAGGCAAGAGTCAGGTCACCAGGCTGGCCATGCTGTCTGGCAGGGCTGTGGAAATCTTAGGATTAGATGGACAGTAATATAAATCCTTTGGCAGGTGTGTCATCTGCCATATTTGTATTCATCAGTGTTTTTTTAACTGTTGCTTTGAGTTCAGCTTTAAAGGGTAAGCATGACTTACCCTCAAATTTCGAATTCAGAATCTCCTACCCTATGCACCAGTATAGAAGAATAACCACATATTAGGTTTAATTCTTTGTTTAACTTCTTTGTTTAATGCAAAGAAGTAATCATTTTATGCTGTCTTACCTGCACTGATCCAGTACAGTGGTCTTCTCCCCTGCACACATGCAAGGTGGTCCTATACATAATAATGGCTATTTCCATCCATAGCCTGATGCATGTGGTAGGCATCACCATTATAATCCACATCTCTAAGATGTCTCCAGCACATCCATGCAGTGCACTGTGCAGTCCAGCAGAGCCAGATCTAATGGGGTTCTGGGGTGGGCTTTGCACCCCCAGATTTTAGCTGTGCCCCTCCAAGGTCTCTAAGAGTGCATCCACTAATCCATGAGCCAGTCTGTTGATGTAAGGGGGCACTCTGATGGCAACACTGCATGTAAGGGGGAACTCTGATTCGGACACCTGATGTAAGGGGGCACTCTGATGGGGGCTTGGGACACCTAATGTAAGGGGGAACTCTGATGGGGACAGCTGATGTAAGGGGGACTCTGATGGGAACCCTAATGTAAAGGGGGACTCTGATGTAAAGGGGGACTCTGATGGGGACCTGGAAGTAAGGTGGGCTCAGATGGAGACCCAGATGTGAAGGGGGACTCCTAAGATTGATTCTGATGAGGATTGTTATGTAAGGGGGGACCTGGATGGGGACACTGATATAAGGGGGCACTCTGATGGAGACACCTGATGTAAGGGGGTGCTCTGATGGGAACTTAATATAAAGCGGGACTCTGATAGGGCCATCTGATATAAGGGGGCACAGGTTCTTTTTAATCACCCTACTAAAACTGCCTAATACATACTAGTGTTTCCCAAGTTGTGACACTGTGTGACAGAGTGTCAGTATTGACATTATGTCTCCTGATTTATATTTTTTACTGCACCCCCAGGTCAGATAGGCTAGATCCGGCCCTGCATTCCAGTATTGGTTAATGTAACCCATATTTGATAATGTATCTAAAGCCCAAACTATCACACCAGACATTTAGGCACTTCAGACTGTTTTATTAACCAGTTGCCTACTGGGCACTTTCACCCCTTTCCTTCCCAGGCCAATTTTCAGCTTTCAGTGCTGTCGCACCTTGAATGACTATTGCATTGTAATGCAACATTGTTCCCATATGAAATTTTTATAATTTGTTTCACACATAGAGCTTTCTTTTGGTGGTATTTAATCACCACTGGGTGTTTTATTTTTTGCACTATAGGCAATATAGGCAGCACTGAATGGGCACTGATAAGGCGGCACTGATAGGCAGCACTGATGGGCAGTGATAAGGCGGCACTGATAGGCCGCACTGATGGGCACTGGTAGGCTGCACTGATGAGGCAGCACTGATGAAGTGGTACTGGTGGGCATTAATGAGGAGGCACTTATGATGCTGCAATGATATGCAGCACTGATAGGCACTGATAAGAGGCAATGATGGGCACTGATAGGTGGCACTGAAGGGCACTAGTAAGCAGCACTGAAGGGCACTGAGTGGTGGCACTGATAGGCGGCACTGACTGGCATCACCAATAGGCGGCACTGACAGGCACAGATTGGCAGCACTGCTGGGAACTGATGGGCAGCACTGTTGGGCACTGATGGGCAGCACTGCTGGGCACTTTTGGGACTGATAACCAGGGCACTGATAATCGGTGCCCTGATTATCACTGCAGATGTCTGCTTTGAAGGTTACCGGCACTGACAGCCTGAGGAAAGTACTGTTGATAACCTGCAAATGTATTTACATAGTGGTCAGCTATTACTGGACATGGCTGATCATGTGACAGAAGGCTGCTGTGATTGGCCTTTTAACATTTCATGTGATCAGCTGTGTCCAAAGGACACAGCAATCATGGACAGTGCTGGGTGTGCGCCGCTGGGGACGCCCTCCCAGAACTGGACTACTGCGCTGTAGCCATCATTCGGCTATAATGTGCTGGTAAAGTGGTTAATAAATCAATAACAATGCACACAGATCTAGAAAAGTACATTTTTCAAGAATGTCATCCAAAGATGCTCAGCTGTAATATAAATGCACCTCTAAATAAAGCTGCTAGAGAATAAAATAATCTGAAGAAACAGCTAGGAGACACCCATTACAAATATACAGCACAATATAGCAAATACAGTAAATACTGAATAGTTTTGGACCGGACTTGATAAAGGGATATAGTCACTCCAAAACATTGCCAGCACTTGTACTGTGTGGTCCATGCTTTTGTTTAGTATCCATTTGCTATATTGTGCTGCTTCTTTGTAAAGGAGGTCTCCTAGCTGCATCTTCAGACTATATTACTCTCTAGTAGCTAAAGTTTGCATTGATCTAACATATATATATAATTAAAAATTATAAGCAGAAGCAGAACGTTCTTTAAAATTTACATCTACTGATAAGATTATTTACATCTAGCTAATTACATTAAAGTGATTGTAAAGGATCTACTTTTTTTTCTAAATAACATATTATACTTACCTGTTCTGTGCAATAGTGCTCCTCTTCTCGGGTCCCCC